GATATAATGCTCTGAAAATTCCTTTAACATAATTCACTGGATTGTTGTGAGGACAAATTGAGGTGATCATCGAGAAAGCTGCTTGGAAACTCTAGATTATAGACATGTGGGACATTTATGAAAATTAAGGTTTTAAAGCAAAAGAAGGTCTTTTAAAAACACGGAAATTTTGGTTGTCCAACAATGTACGTGCTGCCTAATGAAGATTAAAGATTAAGCCCTGTTCAGGTAATATTATCTAGTGGGAATACCATAGCATTTACCACGTTAACCATTTTAAGTATATGGTTCAGTGGCGTTCAGTTCATTCAGAATGCTGTGTAACTGTCAGTGCTCTCCATCTCCAGAATTTTTTCATCATCCCAATCTGAAGCTCTATACCCGGTAAAGAATATTTCCCGTTTTCTCCTTCCCCCAGTCCCTGGTAATCTCTATTTTTTTTTTTTTTTTTACCTACTCTAGGTACATCCTATAAGTGAAATTATACAATATTTGTCCTTTTGTATCTGGCTTATTTCACTTAGCATATGTTTTCAAGGTTCATGCATGTTGTAGCATGTATCAGAATTTCATTCCTTTTTAAGGATGGATAATATTCCATTGTATGTATATACCATATTTTGCTTATCTGTTGATGGACATGTGGGTTGTTTCTATCTTTTGGCTATTGTGAATAATGCTGCTATGAACATTGGTGTGCAAGTATCTGTTTGAAACCCTGTCATCAATTCTTTTGGTTATGTACCTAGGAGAGGAAAAAAGCAGATCTTTTAAACCCTTAGTTTTGCCTGTGACTTTGAGCAGAGATATACTTTTCTTTTGGGTTATCCAGAGCAAGTGTAGATCCTCTGTTCGTGCCCTGAAGAATGAGCAGCTGCTTTCTTCACCTTTGATGTGCTGTAGGCCTCTATCCTTTCCCCTAGCCTCCTCTTCCTCCCCTGAATTTGATGCTTCAAGATGTAGCTACAAAGCGTTCTGATATCTCACTCTAAGCACATGCCTGTGATGATGTCTGTTTAAATTAGGCCCATCAACTGGTACTACTTTGGGGACTGACAAGGTGAGCTGAGAGAAATTAAGTTGAGGGCACGATATAAAGGGAAATTTAATAGAAAAGGAAAGTGTCATAAAGAGAATTATACTTGAAAGTTCAACTTTAATTCAATTGTGAATGAATTACTCTCTGCTGGTCACTGTTAAAATACAACAGAGAATGAGACAAGAGCTCACATTGTAGAGGAGGATGGATACATATTTAGTAAGCAGCAAAGAGCTACCAAATATGTTATTACTACTCATTTGTTTATTCAACATTCATCAAGCACCTACTAAGCACAGTTCTAGGCCCTGGGTATATACATCAGTGAACAAGACAAAGTCCTTGCTCTCCTGAAGCTGACCTTCTAGAGGGGAAAACTGGACTAGAAACAAGAAAATACACACTATGATGGCTGTGTATTTTTCCTATGGAGAAAAATAAAGGAAGATAAGGGATAGGAAGTGATAGGGGTGTGTGTATTGTTTTAGATGGGCTGACCAGGGCAGGCCTGTTGGAGTAGATGACTTTAAGCACAGATCAGAATGAAATGAGGAAGAGAGTCAAGGGGAAATGTGGGTGACAAGGGAGCTTGGCAGAGGAATAGTGGTGACTGCTGTAATCTTACATTTCAGAGATGGATAAAGAGCTTTGGGACTTAAATTGATGGGACAAATCTGATGCTCTGTGATTTTAAGTACATAATCCTATGACACTGTAAAATTATTTTTTATTTAAACACTCAAAGATCTGTTTGCAAGAGAATGTTCAGTGGCAAGATACTTTCATTTTAAAATAAATGAGTGTTTCAAAATGATAAGGAATCAGTGCTAGAAATCTCTTTCTCTCTCTCTCTCTCTTTCTCTCTCTCTCACACACACACACACACACACACACACACGTGTGCATTATGAGAGCTTCTGTGCATGGAATAAACATGAGGTGGGTCTTTTGTGGTCTTCCTGTAGGCATGGCAAGCCCTTCTATACTTTCTCCTCCCCTTAAGATTCCTCATTCTGTCAGTGTCATTGGTTAGAAAGAAATATTATATTTTAATCAGTTCAGACTAGGTAGTACATGAATATCTAGAGCATTTAAGACCAAATAATATCTCTTAGAAGTATTTAACAAAAATATGCTTAGTAATCCAAAGAAAGCCAACTCTAGTCTTGAAATTTCAGGAAGAATGACAAGAATGTCAGAAACTTTTGGGCAAATGGAAAAAATCACCACATGTAGCTCCTTAATGTTGACTTTCTCCTTCACAGTGTAGGGCCGTGTGTGTGTGTGTGTGTGTGTTTGTGTGTGTGAGGGGGCTTGCAAAACTGAAGACACAGTTCTTACAGTCCTACCTTAAGCAACCTATAAGCTGGGAGGGAATATAGCAGGCATTGTAAGATAAGGACCAGTGGACAGTACCAAACCTAAACCTGGCCTCTGGCAGTGCCCACGAGAGGGGGATCAGTGATGCTAGGAAGATGGTCAGAAAAGGCTGGGGATGAGGAGGCAATATGTGATCTGGTCCTTTAAGGACAGGTTGGGAAAGGTCTCCCAAAAGGAGAGGATGGCCTGAGCAAAGATGCCAAGGTAGGGATGTGCAGTTGATGTTTAGATAATGGAAAGGGGTCCCCATGGACTAAGGCAGAGGATCTGGCTTGGAGATTATAGGAGTAACTTTGGAAAGATCAATGTAAGGCCAAGAAGAGAAAAAGAGCTCTTTGCTCTCCTTCTTTTGTAAGTTGCTTTCTGACTCATTAATTTTTCAGATTATGGGGAAAGTCATCACTTGCTTCCCCATCAGTGTGCTGCTATTGGGGTCAGCCGTAGATCTCAAGATGTTCCCTGCAAACAAAATCACTGTCTTCTAAGAGCTGCATTTTCATTGGTTGGCATACAAGCTGACTGTGAAAAATTTAAGCAGTACCGAAGGGTAAGAACCAATGAAAATGGTAGGGGAGTGGAGAGGCCCACCAGCCCCTCCACCCCTATACCATTCTTCGGAGGTAGTTGTTATTAATTATTTCTTCTTGCTTGGCTTTCCAGTTATCATTCATTCAGTCAACAAATATTTATTAAATGCCTATTATGGACACTGGCATTACAACAGTGAACAAAAGTCCCTGCTCTCAAGAAGCTTATATTTTAATTGGAAGAAACAGACAGTAAGCAGCAAGCACGTTTAAAATATTTTTACCGAATGGGATCACCCTATACACATTCTTTTGCAACTTGTTCTTTTCACTTGACAATACCTCTTAGACATCTTTCCAAGTCAGTCTGAAGAGACCTACTTCTTTCAATGATAACAGCTAATAATTACTAAGTATCTACTATGCTCCAAGCACAGTCTTAGTCACAATAATCCTCTATGGTAAGTACTATAATTATCACCTTTCTACAGATGAGGAACTGAGGCCCAGAGAGGTTTGGGAACTTGCTCAGAGTCACCTGACCAGTTACTGATGGAGCCAGAATTGAACCCAGACCATCAGATTCTTCACTCCAGTTCTGTCCCCTCCTGATGGCTGTGTAGTACTCCTTTGTATGAATGTACCTTGACTTACTTAGCCAGTCCCCTATATTTAAGCCATTTTTAGTTTTTTGCTATCACAGTACTATAATGAACAGATACGTTTGCATATGTTTGGGATTATCTGTAAGGTAAATTCCTAAGAGATAGAAACATACACATTTCTATATTTGATAGGCGTTACTTAGTTTTCCTTTAAAAATATTTTATCAACTTCTATTCCCACTAACAATGTAGGAAAAGGTGTAGATTTCTTTAAATATTCTTCAGCAAAGGTAATTACCAGACTTACAATAGTTGTCAATATGAAAAGTTTAAAAATGGCATAGAGGCTATACTTAATTCTTTTTAAATTCGAAACAGTTTTTCATTGTAAATATTTTAAAGAAATGATTTCTTCCTCATATAGGCTGTTCTTGGTCCTTTTTATCATGCAAGGAAGAAAGCCATCACTCTTGTGTCAAGAAATCTGTCCTTTTTTTTGTGACTGTGGAGCCCTGGCAGGGAAAGTCCCTCCCTTCTCTCTGATCTGGCTCTCTGTAGAAACCTGAGGGCTCAGTACCACATTGTTTCAGGAGAGTGGGATTGACACAGGGGATCAACTTGCTCTGGTTAGAGAGACATGATTAAAACATATTTGGTTTCAGTACTTAACAGCAAATCTGATGCAACTTCTGGAAAATCCATAAATGGCTTTAGATGTATTGAAAAATAGCATAATTCTTTCTTTTAAAAATAGCCATGAACCAAAATATTTTGTTTTCATCTAATCCCATCTTAAAAACCAGAACTGTCTCAAAGCGATTCTAAACTAAAAAGTTTAAATCTATTTCCCATGTGTGTTTGTTCTTCAGCATCCTTAGGGTTAATCGTTTGCTTCCTCTGAGCTGAAATTAAGGATGTTGGGAAAGAAGAAGTCATCGTTCTGCATATTACATGTTGCTTGAGTGTGCTTAGCTTTCATCCATAAGAGAGTTGAACTCCCCTTGTAATAATTAAAAAAAAATAGACATTGCTAATTCCTTCATCTCTGGGAAAAACAGGTAGGAAGTCCAAAGATATTTACTAATCTGCCTCAGTCAAGGGCTGATAAAAGTTTGCTTAGCAGAAGCTGTAGCTGGTGACCCCTTTCGTTGTCTGCGTCTGTCCTTCTGAACTCTTGATTCCCACAGAAGAAGCCATCCTGGCCTCTAGGGAGCTTCCTTTTGTTTCTCCAGGATTAACCAGTTCTGCCCTAGTAGCAGCAGTAGGCAACTATTCCAGAAAAAACTCTTCTGGGCTTTTGCTATTTTTCCAAGGACCGTTTTTACTCCCTCAGTTCTTCACTGGCAGGGAAGCTGCTTTCCTGCAACACCTTCCTCTTTTACTGATGAGATGCTGATTCTGATCTGCCATCTAGCAGCTTCCGGTAGTGGTAAGTGGTCAAGAGTGTTTTTCCGGGAGTCGATCTCAGGTTTTCAAGAATGTCCCCTAGAGACCCAGTTTCTTTTCTATGTAATTACCAGAGCTTTCAGAGTAGCCTTGCTTTTCTCACTTTTCTCGTTCTCATTGATATGGTCATGGAATGGGTACCTGTTTGATCTTGCTGCACTGCTGGGAAATCTCCATTTTGGGCGAGAGGCTTAGGTCCAGGCTGAGGTGAGTCTGGGGAGCACTGAAGGGTTGGTGAGACCAAGAAGAGAGGTAGTTCTGGGCTGTTTGGTGCTTTTGGTTTCCTTTTCCAGGTTGCTGTTTTGCTTTGCTTTGTTTTCATTTGCTGCATGTTGAAGTTTAGCAAAGAGTATTAATTATTCTCCTCTCATTTAAAAAGTAATTTGGGGGGAAATTAGTTGGATTTGGGAAACAGAGCATTTTCTTTTTTTCCTTTGAAGGTCAAAGTTTTCTTCTGTTAGCATCACCTATTACATGGCCAATGGGAGTCACATCAATGTCCATTTCTTCTTGGTTTGTGGGTACTTGTCACTTCCTTTGATAGCAGTTGGTTTGAGTTTTTTCCCGGAGGGTTTGTATCTGATGCACCTATTCAAGATATTGTTCATTTTATGATCAATTCATGCTTTGGACATAACAGTTTGTCACTAAGCTCTCCCTCTGAGGCTTGAGGGGTATGTTTTTAGGGCTGAGATTTGTCTGAACAGAGAAATGGATTCTTCTAGCTGTTTTGTCGATAGACACGAGAGGGTCTCAGGTCCCTGGTTAACAATTAGCTGTTTCGAAAAAAAAGGAGATGGGTAAGAAACATTAATTAGGGGCTGAAAGCTTATTAGAAAGGAGGTGAGGAAATACGGTATTGTGTATGGGATTACCTGTGTCCAAGAACGGCCACCTTTGTGCCTGTGTTGTTCCCTGCTTGCCTTTACAGCAAAATGTGAATTCAGAGGGATTTTTGGACCTATATTTGTCTATCTTATGCTTTTATATTGTTTCATCATGCATGCATGCATCTTTAAAAATGAGGGGCCAAGTGATTTTTTTGTGCCCCGGGGGTTTTTTTTGTGCTCAGGAGGATTTTATTTTTTTTCTTACATGGTAAATTGGAAATTTTCATTTAGTAGGAAAAGACTTAACCTATCGTTTCAAAGCAAATCAGAAATTGTTGCTGTCCTTGAAATAAAATTTCTTAATGTATGTATCCTAGATGCTTGCACAGCGTGTACAAGAATCAGGTGCTAGTATTTGTTTTCAGGATTTCCCAAGAAATGATGTCACAGAAAACAGTATCCTCCAAATGTTCCACATTTGTAGTGTATGCCTAAAGGCTTACTTGACTTCTTAGCAATATTACGTATTTTCTAAATATTAACAAATAAAATTCTAATTGAATGTTAAATATAAATATTATATTGGTCAGTAATGAATATTACTGAGCATTGTGTTCTTGGAAACATAGTCCTTCTTTAATGTGAGGCTACCTTTTTCTCCTCTCTCCTCTTCTTTACTCAATGCTGGTTTGTTGAGCACCTACCTGCCCCATGCCAGGCTCTGTGCTAGATGCTCTGAAGAAGAGGGCGTAGGAGGAAAGCCACAGCGTTTTGTTTCAATACATGTTTCTCTAGCCCTTCTTTTGAGGTTGGGTGTTCCCTAGGACTCTGTCCTTGTCCTCTTATTGACTCATCCTCACCCGCTGTCCTCCCCTCACTTCTCTCCATTCTCGTTCTTCTTGAATGAGATCATTCATTCCCCGTGACTTCAATGTTTCCTCATATGTTGATGATCCAAGTCTACAAGTCTGTCTTTTCTCTTTCATGCTGAGGATATTTTCCATGAGCAAGAGGCATTTCAAGCCTAGTGTGTTCAAACTGAACTTAATATTCTCCCACATCAGTTCCTGCTCCCGCTCTCCCACCTTCTCCCTTCACTGCTGTATTTGTCATTTTCGTTAATGGCACCTCTCTCCTGTCATTGTCCTGAGCTGAAAATGTGGAAGTTATCCCAGATTCCTCCTTGTTTTGCACCCCAGCATACAGACCCCTTATAAAGTCTGTCAATTCCAACTGCAGGAATATTTCCAGAATCCAGCTCCACTTGCCTGTTGTCACCGCTCCCCCACTTCTTTCCGTGCCAGTCCTTGTCGTGAGAGTAAAACCTTCCTAAAAACCCTGACGGCATACACTTGTGTAGAGAGACATGAGGAAGCAACGACAGTGGACAAGGGGGCCTGGATTCTAAGTGTACCATTCTGCAGAGAGAGCCCTTCTGCCTCCCCATTAGCTGAGGATCAACCACAGGATCTTGATTGTGGCAATGCTCTGTGTCACCTCATCTATCAAATAGGGATAGTCCCTGCCCGTAAAATTTTGTTGAGGATTAAATGAGATAATACATGTCAGTGCTTAGCATGAGGCTAAGTACCAAGTGAATGGGAGTGATGATGATAATGATGATTTCTTTCAGAATCCATCTCTTATCTACCTTGCCAGCCCCATATCACACTACACTCCTCCATGCCCCTTGTAATCTGGTTGCCATGACTATCACTGCTTCCTATCACAACACCTGGTCTTTCCACCTGCTGTTCTTTTTGCCTGTACTTACATTGTTTTACTGAGCAAACTCTTCTTTTCAAAAGGACTTGACTTCGAATTACCATCTGTGAGCTCATAGCTGACTCTGCAAAGCAGGCTTGGTGACTCCCTTCCCTCTGTCTCCATAGTTCTCAGTCCCTCCTTCTGTCATAGTCCTGCACTAATGAACTTTCTATGTATCTGGTCTCATCTACCCCAGACTCTTGGCTTTTGAAGGACAGAGATAGGGCCTAATGATCCTTTCCTCCCTCTACCCAGCCCGGGTTTGACATAGAATAGGCATCGGATAAGTGTTTGATGATTGAATATCAGTAAGGATGCTCTCAAATTTGATAGGTTTTCTACGTATGTAGAGTTAAAAATACATTTAAGAAAAATAAAAATAATAATAGCTTTCCTTTCTTATTAACTTTGTAGCAGGAGGCGCTGTGCTAATTTTTTTTTTTTTTTTACAGGCATGACCTCATTTAGTTTGCTAAATGATCCCATGAGTTACCCTGATTGTCTCTGTTTACAGATGAGAAAACCAGGGCTTAGAAGGGAGGGGAACTTGCTGGAGGTAGAGAGATAACAGGACCAAACCTGGCCCCCTGACTCCAGGCTGGGGGAGGAATGGGAAAGTGAGAAGGGGAAGGAAGATGACCAAGCCAGGGGAAATGTGTTTGGGAGAGAAAAGGCAGGATGAGGAGAAGGACATTGAAAATGCACAAGAGAGGCAGTGAGGGCAGGCGAGGCAAGGAAGAGAAAGGAAAGAGAGAAGGAAACTAGGAGATCAAGTTGGAAAATAAGCAGGACATAAACAAGAGGAGAAAGGGAAAAAGTGTTCCCACCACTTTAGAATTTTGTGGTAACAGCTGCGTGCCTAACAGAATATAAACAGACTTCAGTGTCGACATGACAACTTACAACAAAAGCAATCTGATATACATTATATGGGAAATAGAATAATTTATTGTTGAGGCATGGTAATTAGATATAATTGGTAAGCAGTTTATAAATTTGGCTGTGCTAACCATCACTTTGACAGACACGTACACAGACTGGCTTAAATTTTTTTACTTCTATTTTTGCCCAATATCTATACTCTGTAAGCCCTACAGCTGTTGGCAGCCGTCAATATGATTAAAACATTATCTATACCTGATTCACTTTGCTGTACAGCAGAATCGAACACAACATTGTAAAGCAACTATACTCCAATAAAAATTAGTTAAAAAATAAATAAAACATTATCCATACCTCCTACCCTCATATCACACTCAGAGCTGCACACATGTAGGACTGAGGCCTGGGCTTATTCCTTAGCTTATCCCTCACTGGTCTAACCTCCCAAGGCTGAGATTTCCCTTTTGCGTCAAGATGTCCCTTCCCTGGAGTCTTAGAGCTGTGTTCCATCTCCCACCCCCCATCCCTTAGAGACCTGGAACAGGGGGCTCCTGGGGAATATTATTGGGCTCGTAGGCAGGGTTGCCAGCAGATATGTCTGCAAGGTCACCATGTCCAGAGGTGGGAAGACTCACTGAGGCTTTGCTTTTCAGCCTCTGGGAGCCTAGGGCCAGAAGGAGGAAAGGGGCAGGGGCAGGACCAGAGAAGGTAGAGGGCAGCAGGAGGAGAGAAGGGGCTGATTCCCTAATCCTGCCATCCCACTTCCCATCCTCAGACCCCACTGTTACTCAGCAGATGGGCTCTCCATTGTTCATCTAAACCTTCCAGGCAGCTCCCCTCCCCTCCGCTCTTGGTGGGTCAGTCCTCTTGGTGGGTTGGGTTGAGAGGCAAGTGCCTTAGTGAGAAATAGGAAGCAAAGCCAGGGAAACAGGGAAAGGAAACTGAGAGTGAAAGCAGAGAAAAGGGGAGGGAGTAGGAGGAGAGAGGACAGATGGGGACGAAGGAAGGAGGGGGAGGAAGCACATTCTTATGGAGTGAGCTGTATTTACATCTATATTTATCCTGGAAACAGCCCTGAGAGGAAGGAAATATTACCTCTATTTTACAGATTCGGGGATTGAATCTTAGGAAGGGTAAGTAACTTGGTCAAAGTAACACTAGATAGAAAGAAACTGAGCTAGGATCGGGATCTGTTATCCTAAAAGTCTCTCCCGTACATTACAGTGTCTCCGAAGAGGAAGAGAAGGCAGAGTTGGGGAGAGAGGGAGGCAAGCAGAACAGCACGGAGACTGGAGAATAGACGGGTGGGGGACAGGAGGTCCTCACAGCGGCTGAGGACTGGGGTTGGGCTCCTTGAAGCTGTGTGGGACCTTTCCCCCTTGGCCCATCTTGTCCCTGAGTCCTGAGAACTGGTGAGGACCCACTGCTCAAAGGACGTAGAGGATGCCCCTGCGGGGACACCCCAGCTCCTCCCTTGACCCTGAGTTGAAGCCAGGCCGAGGGGCACTCCCTGAGCAGCACTCTGGGCAAGGAAGGAGAGCTGCCAAGAATCTGCCTGCGCTACTCTCTGGCTTCAACTACTCCTCCTGTGTCTTCCCCCACTGTCCTAGCCCCTACCTCTTCCCTTTCTTTCCCAATCTCCTCTGATTCCTTTGTCTTCCTGTCACTCTCCCTCATGTTTTCAATCTCTCTTCCCACTGGTTCTATCCCCTTAGTTTATTGCCATGG